GTGTAGCATTTGTGTGGTTACCAAGGTACTGCAGCCAAACGCGCACTCAGCGGTAAAGAACAATTAGAAAGGAGAGGCGCATACAAGTAGTTTGTTCGGTTTTGTTCTGGTTCTATCTGGCCGAGCAGCAGCGCGAGCGGAGTACGGAGACCGCAGCCGCTCCGATCGGTTCCCTGTACTTCGTAGAAAGTAGTGTAGAAAGTGGCACGCCATTGCAGCTGCAAGCCCACTCTCGCTACATATGACAAAGACCAGGATATTCGGAGGTAAGTGTACAGTTTGTCTTCCATTTGTACACCCATCTGCGAAGACCTATAGTGACTGAAAGAATAAGTGAATACTAGGAGCAAAGTTACCTCAACTGGTATATTTGTCTTTTGGATCGTCTCAATTTGAGACGATAATGATTGGAAAGCATTAAGAAGATTATGAGAGGTTGTTAAATTGTGAGAGACGAGGTTCGATTCCAAGCTCCGACGTAGCTGAAAACAATTTTAGTAAGTCTTCTAAGGGAAATTGAGGCAAATCAGAAGTCATTGGAAACCGTAGATAGCAGGTAACGACGGAAAGTACCTCGATTTCTCTCTTGGTCATGTTTTCTTTTTGGTCCTGTACAGCTTCTAACCCTCGACGCAGTTCTTCCTTACATTCCGCCAACGCAATTTTCAAAGAAGCTATTTCCATAGAGAGTGTTCTGTTACGAGATTGAGCATCCTCACAATCTTGCCGGCTCTGCAATGGGAAATTGTGGGAATAGAAACTGAAAAATATCATTCGTCAGCATTAAAGAAGCACTTGGAAGCACGGCGGCCGGAGGAGGGGGAAGTTGGAGGTACGAGAACATTAGGACGGGTGAAGTGGTCTGGTATGTCTCTGTGTCTCGCAACCAGGGTATGTCCTGCTGAAAGGGGAAGGTTGAAACTTTTAGCAAAATGCAACCCTCCTCAGAGTTCCCCCTTAGCTACGACTCCCTCCTTTCCTCATGACGATTTTTTCCAGAAATTTCTCCATTTTTTCCCAAAAACCTGCCGTCAAGCGGGGAGGGCGGAGGGGGGTTCATAGCGATTTTGAAACCGAAAAACAACCGTTAAGAGTCAAAAAAGGAAAACACTTCTCTCAAAGCCAACACGACATCCCTCCCTCAACAGCCAAAATGACTCCCCTCTCGATGGTTCGTCCAACGTACGACGTGCTCCGCTCACCTCCCTACACCTCACCAAAATCACGCAACTTCCTATTTCCAGATACTTCACCAGTTGTTACTCCGGAAACAGCGTCGAGTGGGCAGGCAGGGGATAAGGGAGGGGGAGGGGAAGATGGGCAGGGGATCAAGTAGTGCTTGAAGCAGGAGAGTCTCACAAACGAAAAACAATTTCTCGCGGCGCGAAACATTTTCCCAACCATCCCTCTCCACAGCAGCCAAGTTACGACCCCCCCCCCCCCTCGTGGTGCTTTTCACAACAAGGTGTTGCGCTCTGCTCGGGAGTGCCATAGAAGTGCGAAAAAGTGATCTGCGAAATATTCAAGGATAAGAACTCAATGAGTCTAGGCTTTGAATATCGAGCTAGTGTGAAGCAAGTGATTACCTTAGCGAGTCTAGTCTCCAACACAGAGATTTCAAACTTTGCAGCGCTCACTTCTGATCCGAGTTGAGTGATTTTCTGATCTTTTTCCACCAACTAAAAATATACTGAATTGGGTACGGAGGAATTCATGCAATGCTAAAGAAACAGAGAATGACAGAGTTGAGTATGTATGAAAATATCCGCGTAAAAGGAAAATGTCGATCTGGAGAATCGGAGAAGCTGCCAGAAAGATTAGATTTATAGGACTGGTAGCCGCTTCTTAACGGGTGAAGATTTATCTATCTAATCTTCTGTAAATTTCCCGATTCTAGTGTAGAGAAAGGTATATGATCGTCTACCCTAGTGAAGGATATAGTCAACAATACCAGCATACTCACCTCGCTTTACCCGCCAGAGGTAAACAAAACGCACTATTTCGCTTTACTGCCCAGCTCTCTCCGAAAATGGGCCAGTTATGACGCGTTTTTTTCTGCTTGGCAGACATTGGCGAAAACTTGCTCTCTTGGGGTAGTTGATCCTCCTGCACCAGAATATCACATCCGCTAGGGCAGCGAAACCTTCTGCGTTGCCGGTGCTGACATGGCCCTGGCGCCCAAAAAGTGTCTCCAGGATGTATACCGCGCCTGTGGCGTGGGCGCCAGAAAATTTCGGGCTAGGCGAGTGTCATATTCGTATTCAGGAGGTCAAAATACCCCAGAGCAACATTTGAGCCAAATCTGTCCACAGAGAAAAAGTCGGTCAGAACTGGCTCAATTCTGGATGGTTGGGACAGAAAAGGGTAAAGTGCCACGAAAACAAGAACAAGGCCGCATTTTTATGTGTATGAATGCGTTCATGGTTCGCGACTCGGAAGGAATTGGCCGCTTTGGTGGAATACGCAAAAAGAAAAGCATAGACAACGACCTAGCCTTTCAGGAGAATCGACGCTTCGAAAAGGATAACATAGGCGATGATCGGCGCTGGTCGCTAACGTCTTGGGCTCTCAAAATGCTGATTCTCGCGAGCCGCAAAGTATGAACGGAACCGAAGAAGAAATGAGAATAATTACAGATCGTTAAGGAAGCCTACACACATACCTTCTCCTGGAGCCTACTGGCAGTGTCGTTGGCTGATTTCAATTTGTGTTCAAATTCTTCCAATTCAATAGCTCGTCTTCGAAGGTCATCTTCCTTAAAAAATAATGCGCAAATTTTTACAGTAATGAGATTTCGAAGTTCAAGTATTCAGACACAAGAGACCCCTCTGAAGATAGTTTAAAGGTTGCAATAAGTTCAACAACTTACGGCTTGTATTCGCTTGTTAACTTCAGCAGACAAATCAAGCCTAGCAACCCGGAGATTTTCTTTCATATCTTTCACCTCGTGTTCGTATATGGCAATATCTTTCCTTAAACAAGGGTGGCATTGAAGAACAGGGAAAAAAGAAGACAAGGTAAGAAAAGCGATACGTACTGAAACATCCGCGATTCATGAGAGTTGATTCGGTTACTCGTCTCTATAAGAATACTCTCGTTCATTTTGGAACTCATGTCTTCTTCCATTTTCTGAAGAAAAAAGAATCGCTTTGAGGCTAAAATTAGCTATGACCTCAGAAACATTACAGTGACGCTCATACCATTCGCACATCACTGTTCTACTGATTAAGCTTGGGGGAAAATTAGCACCAAAAAAGTGGAGGAGTTCTAATACCTAACAAGCCAGCTACTGTGATAGCGAATAAATGGGGTGTTGTTGAAGTGGAGTAAGTTGATCGGTGGCTACACGCCTTGCCATTGGGGGAAATTGCAGCAAAGTTCCTCGAACGTTCCTCCTCTAGTACGACCACATTCCCATCGTTCCTATTGTTTTCCATTTTTCCCAACTTCCTTTCACTTGTCCGGAGAGTTGGGAGAGGGGAGGGGGAGGTGGTAAGTGAAGCACTCGAAGCAGGAAGAACTGAGGAAAGTCAACAACCCGAAGAATTTCTCTCGAAGGCAAATACGACCCGCTCAACGTAGGCGCCCTGGTGCTCACTGTAATCGACGTTTCTTCAGTACCCTCAAGGACAAGGTGTCGTAGCGTGGACTCTACCGCTGCAAGGGCTAGCATGCGAGGAAGCATGAGAGACCGTGTCACACCGCACCTGAAATCGAGGCATGTTAATAACCGGACCAGCCAGTTGGACTCGACTGGATAGGAAACCCAAAAGCACGACCGCGAGCGAGTGTGGAGGACGTCGAGGTGCCATGCTCGAAAGCCCTTCCCCATCCGAAGGCAGGAAGCAGCCAGTGCAACTATATGGACTCGTGCTTCGAAGGCCACAGGATGGCCTGGTGAGAAAAGTACAATACTGCAAAGCCAGGCAGGCGATCACAAAAGGTTCCAGAGGAAAGAAGGAGAAACCTTATATCCTGCAGAAAGGTTTGCAAGATAACTATGAAAGACATTACACTGCAAGAAAAGAAGAAGCTGTAATGGGAGAACTCAGGGAAATCAATGCGTAATAAGAACGCACTTATACTTCGCGATCCGATCGTTTGCATCGCGCGACCGATCACTCGAGCGTTTGGCTCGTGCGATCGGATTACGAAGTATGAACCCGCTCTAAGGGAGATATTTATAACTAATGATAAATAACACAAAATAGCAAGTGCTCAGATAAAAATACATTCCCATGGCTTACCTTAATAGTACACCGTAATTCTCTGATTGTGCTATCCTGTTCTAGTATATGCGCCCTCAACTCCTCTTCATTCATTCCCAACTCTACAACCTGAAAGAAAACCAGTCAAAGGTGCCGCATTTGAGATATAAGACTTGGCTTATAGTGGCAAGGTTGCAGTGACGCACGCGAAGCACACAATAGTTCGCTAGCTACTTTGCACCAGCGTTTCGCATTTTTTTTTTGCTTTTTCCAATCTCTTAAAACATTTATTGTTCAACAGACCATTTACATGTATAATAATTAAGAGCAAAAAAAATGCAAATTAAAAGGGGAAAAGAAACCTTGGCGGTGTTCGGGCAGAGATTCGCCTTATACACGGGTGCGTCCCTACCCCGGAAAATCAAATAAGGATAAATTCTTCGCCACTGATCAGCCTTTTTTTAGGATGTGGAGCGGATTCCATTCTCATTCAGAATCGCAGTGGCTTACTGATGCGATGTGGCCCGCACAATCACTTGCGGTGGCCAGCGACGGGCAAGCCGGTGTTTTTGTACTCCCAGATAAAGCTGGTACTAGATTACTGCTCCTAAGGGGAAAAAGCTCGGTAGGTCCGGTTAGGAGCCGATCCTTTATTTGACACCCGGACCGTGCGCGTGGTAAGCGAGCCATTTGCCATTGCGCCACCTCCGCTTCAAAGGCTACCGATAGGATATGACAAGAGGTCTAATCAAAAGAAAAATGAAAATGGACAAAAAGAATTCATACCATACCGCATAAGGTGAAGAAAAACTGGTGTTACATTCAGGAGCACGATTATTCGGAGATAAAGCCTTTCGTCGCGTCCTCGCCGTCGGAGTCTTTAACGGGTGTGTAGTAAGTTTCCATAAAAATGGCTCGGAAAGCAATCTAGGCTCTCCTCGACGAGTAAACTGAAACAATAGTTATATAGGAACACGACTCTTAAGAAAAAAGAAGTCTAGCGAGATGGAATCAAAGTTCGTCCATTGCTCGACAGATCCTCTTTAACCTTGGAACGGAGCATAAATCACAGATATTCGCTTAGGAATTTCTA